AATAATAAGAACCGCACAGATACAATAGGTGCCTCCGCAGCTTGGCCCTAATAAATATAGCTGCAAGCAGCCATTACCGGGGCCAAGCGCAAGAAGCGGCAACATATGCCAAAATGGCAAGGAGTGGCAGACCAACTGCAGCAAGGAGCAATTAAGGGCATTTTGAGAGAACTTTGGGCAAATGGCTAAGAAAAATCACATAAACATTAACTTATAAGACGATTTAATGGGTTATCACTTTCTAACAATAGGTGGCGCAGTTACGAAATAGATGTGATGTGGTCAGAGTGAGGTGACAATGACACATGCAAAGTTTGGTGTCAAAATGTGAAGGCATTGCAGAGATAAAGCCTAAATAGTAATTTTGGCAGCATGCCTAAACTTTGATGTTGTGTTATACGAAAACGGTTTCGTCTATCATCGTGCAATTCATAACTTTTAGTCGGCACGGTCTGGAGATGATACCATTCAATTTTCGTGAAAATCGGACAAACGGTCTAGGAGGAGTTCGAAAAAGAAGGTTTTTCAAAGAAATAAAGATGGCGGACAGGAAGTTTAGCTGATTATGCAAAACCTGATATCTATGTTTTCAGCATAACCCAAGGAATCTATTAAGATCAGTTTCATTGCAATAGGCACATTTATTCAAACGTTATTAGCGTTTTCAGAAATTAATTATGACTTTTGACCAACAGGTGGCGCTGTCTTAAAATCTTTTGAGTACCTTCAGGGCATGCTGCTTATGGCACAAACTGAGTTTTGTAATATTACACCAATGCATTTGTTTAGTATAGCATTTTATTTCACAAAACTCTATTGAAGTCAATGGGAATTTCACGTTTTGTTCTATTATAGCGCCACCAAGAGGCTCAGTCCCACAATTTTTTTTATGTGTCCTCAGAGTGACCCCATACATATGTGTGTCAGTTTTGGTGAAAATATCTCAATTCACTTCCGAGTTATAAACATTTATATGAAAAAACACGTAAAAAATGACTGACACATGACTTTGTTTGAATTTTACTACCCCTTACTATCAATATTTTTGCATTTGGGCATTAGCGTATAGTTAACAAGCTATGATTCCGTGTTTCTGACGGTGGTTTCGTCTCGATCGGAACAGCGGTTTTGAAGATATCGCCAAGTGTTTTTTTCGCGCTAAATCGCTACGCTACGCCATCCGTGAGACGAAACCCGACATATTTGGTATCGTTGGACTCGGCAACGATTCAGGACCTCAAAAATATGACTCCCGTGAAAATAAGTGTACCACACCCAAAGTTATAAGCGTTTGAATAAAACAATTCACCACTAGGTGGCGCTGTTTCGAAACTTCTCAGGCTTCTTCAGGGCATCGTACTGATGACCCATACCGAGTTTCGTAACAATTCGTTCATGCGTTCAAAAAATACAGCATTTTAGCACATAATTCAAAATGGCCGACCGCCAAAATGGCCGTTCTGGGAAAATTGGATATCGGTGGACTCGGCATGACGCCCTGAATCTAACGAGACCAAATTTATGATTTTTGGACAAACCGTTCAGAAGTTACGAGCAAAAATAGCCATTTTTCATATCTCCGGACCACTAGGTGGCGCTGCGCCGAAACACAGCACGTAGCCTCAGGTCATGCTTGTGATAACACGTACCAAGTTTGGTGTGAAAACGAGTAAGCGTTGCGGAGATACAACCTCACGTCTGTTTTTGCAAGCGCTACGTAAATTTTGTTTACGCGTTTATCAAAAACGGTTATTCGAATCATCTTGAATTCCATAACTTTTTGTCAGCACTGCCTGGAGATGATCCGGTGCGATTTTGGTGAAAATCGGACAAACCGTCTAGGACGAGTTCGCAAAAGTAGGTTTTTTGGAAAATTCAAAATGGCGGCCGTTTTTTTATGACGGAAAATGACGTCATAGGGTGCGATCGAATCGGCATGAGCTCAGGAACAAGAGGAAAAAAGAATTTTGTTGATAGGCCTTACGGTTCAAAAGTTATTAGCATAATAAAAGTGAAACTTTGGACAGTTGGTGGCGCTAGAGGGAATGAGTTAGAGACACCAAAATTGGTGTATTTAAAGTTGGGACTGTCCTCTATCAGAATGTCAAACCAAAACAACTTTCCCGCAAACCGGTCTATGGGCTGCCATAGACGCCCAGTCGGAAGAAGAATAATAATAATAATAATAATAAATATAGCTGCAAGCAGCCATTACCGGGGCCAAGCGCAAAAAGCGGCAACATATGCCAAAATGGCAAGGAGTGGCAGACCAACTGCAGCAAGGAGCAATTAAGGGCATTTTGAGAGAACTTTGGGCAAATGGCTAAGAAAATCACATAAACATTAACTTATAAGATGATTTAATGGGTTATCACTTTCGAACAATAGGTGGCGCAGTTACGAAATAGATGTGATGTGGTCAGAGTGAGGTGACAATGACACATGCAAAGTTTGGTGTCAAAATGTGAAGGCATTGCAGAGATAAAGCCTAAATAGTAATTTTGGCAGCATGCCTAAACTTTGATGTTGTGTTATACGAAAACGGTTTCGTCTATCATCGTGCAATTCATAACTTTTAGTCGGCACGGTCTGGAGATGATACCATTCAATTTTCGTGAAAATCGGACAAACGGTCTAGGAGGAGTTCGAAAAAGAAGGTTTTTCAAAGAAATAAAGATGGCGGACAGGAAGTTTAGCTGATTATGCAAAACCTGATATCTATGTTTTCAGCATAACCCAAGGAATCTATTAAGATCAGTTTCATTGCAATAGGCACATTTATTCAAACGTTATTAGCGTTTTCAGAAATTAATTATGACTTTTGACCAACAGGTGGCGCTGTCTTAAAATCTTTTGAGTACCTTCAGGGCATGCTGCTTATGGCACAAACTGAGTTTTGTAATATTACACCAATGCATTTGTTTAGTATAGCATTTTATTTCACAAAACTCTATTGAAGTCAATGGGAATTTCACGTTTTGTTCTATTATAGCGCCACCAAGAGGCTCAGTCCCACAATTTTTTTTATGTGTCCTCAGAGTGACCCCATACATATGTGTGTCAGTTTTGGTGAAAATATCTCAATTCACTTCCGAGTTATAAACATTTATATGAAAAAACACGTAAAAAATGACTGACACATGACTTTGTTTGAATTTTACTACCCCTTACTATCAATATTTTTGCATTTGGGCATTAGCGTATAGTTAACAAGCTATGATTCCGTGTTTCTGACGGTGGTTTCGTCTCGATCGGAACAGCGGTTTTGAAGATATCGCCAAGTGTTTTTTTCGCGCTAAATCGCTACGCTACGCCATCCGTGAGACGAAACCCGACATATTTGGTATCGTTGGACTCGGCAACGATTCAGGACCTCAAAAATATGACTCCCGTGAAAATAAGTGTACCACACCCAAAGTTATAAGCGTTTGAATAAAACAATTCACCACTAGGTGGCGCTGTTTCGAAACTTCTCAGGCTTCTTCAGGGCATCGTACTGATGACCCATACCGAGTTTCGTAACAATTCGTTCATGCGTTCAAAAAATACAGCATTTTAGCACATAATTCAAAATGGCCGACCGCCAAAATGGCCGTTCTGGGAAAATTGGATATCGGTGGACTCGGCATGACGCCCTGAATCTAACGAGACCAAATTTATGATTTTTGGACAAACCGTTCAGAAGTTACGAGCAAAAATAGCCATTTTTCATATCTCCGGACCACTAGGTGGCGCTGCGCCGAAACGCAGCACGTAGCCTCAGGTCATGCTTGTGATAACACGTACCAAGTTTGGTCTGAAAATGAGTAAGCGTTGCGGAGATACAACCTCACGTCTGTTTTCGCAAGCGCTACATAAATTTTGTTTACGCGTTTATCAAAAACGGTTATTCGAATCATCTTGAATTCCATAACTTTTTGTCAGCACTGCCTGGAGAAGATCCGGTGCGATTTTGGTGAAAATCGGACAAACCGTCTAGGACGAGTTCGCAAAAGTAGGTTTTTTGGAAAATTCAAAATGGCGGCCGTTTTTTTATGACGGAAAATGACGTCATAGGATGCGATCGAATCGGCATGAGCTCAGGAACAAGAGGAAAAAAGAATTTTGTTGATAGGCCTTACGGTTCAAAAGTTATTAGCATAATAAAAGTGAAACTTTGGACAGTTGGTGGCGCTAGAGGGAATGAGTTAGAGACACCAAAATTGGTGTATTTAAAGTTGGGACTGTCCTCTATCAGAATGTCAAACCAAAACAACTTTCCCGCAAACCGGTCTATGGGCTGCCATAGACGCCCAGTCGGAAGAAGAATAATAATAATAAGAAATATAGCTGCAAGCAGCCATTACCGGGGCCAAGCGCAAGAAGCGGCAACATATGCCAAAATGGCAAGGAGTGGCAGACCAACTGCAGCAAGGAGCAATTAAGGGCATTTTGAGAGAACTTTGGGCAAATGGCTAAGAAAATCACATAAACATTAACTTATAAGATGATTTAATGGGTTATCACTTTCGAACAATAGGTGGCGCAGTTACGAAATAGATGTGATGTGGTCAGAGTGAGGTGACAATGACACATGCACAGTTTGGTGTCAAAATGTGAAGGCATTGCAGAGATAAAGCCTAAATAGTAATTTTGGCAGCATGCCTAAACTTTGATGTTGTGTTATACGAAAACGGTTTTGTCTATCATCGTGCAATTCATAACTTTTAGTCGGCACGGTCTGGAGATGATACCATTCAATTTTCGTGAAAATCGGACAAACGGTCTAGGAGGAGTTCGAAAAAGAAGGTTTTTCAAAGAAATAAAGATGGCGAACAGGAAGTTTGTCTGATTATGGAAAACCTGATATCTGTTTTTGGCATAACCCAAGGAATCTATTAAGATCAGTTTCATTGCAATAGGCAAATTTATTCAAAAGTTATTAGCGTTCTCAGAAATTAATTATAACTTTTGACCAACAGGTGGCGCTGTCTCAAAATCTTTTGAGTACCTTCAGGGCATGCTGCTTATGGCACACACTGAGTTTCGTAATGTTATACCAAAGGATTTATTTAGTATAGCATTGTATTTCACAAAACTGTATTGAAGTCAATGGGAATTTCAAGTTTTGTTCTATTATAGCGCCACCAAGAGGCTCAGTCCCACAATTTTTTGTGTGTGTCCTCAGAGTGACCCCATACATATGTGTGTCAATTTTGGTGAAAATATCTCAATTCGCTTCCGAGTTATAAACATTTATATGAAAAAACATGTAAAAAATGACTGACACATGACTTTGTTTGAATTTTACTACCCCTTACTATCAATATTTTTGCATTTGGGCATTAGCGTATAGTTAACAAGCTATGATTCCGTGTTTCTGACGGTGGTTTCGTCTCGATCGGAACAGCGGTTTTGAAGATATCGCCAAGTGTTTTTTTCGCGCTAAATCGCTACGCTACGCCATCCGTGAGACGAAACCCGACATATTTGGTATCGTTGGACTCGGCAACGATTCAGGACCTCAAAAATATGACTCCCGTGAAAATAAGTGTACCACACCCAAAGTTATAAGCGTTTGAATAAAACAATTCACCACTAGGTGGCGCTGTTTCGAAACTTCTCAGGCTTCTTCAGGGCATCGTACTGATGACCCATACCGAGTTTCGTAACAATTCGTTCATGCGTTCAAAAAATACAGCATTTTAGCACATAATTCAAAATGGCCGACCGCCAAAATGGCCGTTCTGGGAAAATTGGATATCGGTGGACTCGGCATGACGCCCTGAATCTAACGAGACCAAATTTATGATTTTTGGACAAACCGTTCAGAAGTTACGAGCAAAAATAGCCATTTTTCATATCTCCGGACCACTAGGTGGCGCTGCGCCGAAACGCAGCACGTAGCCTCAGGTCATGCTTGTGATAACACGTACCAAGTTTGGTGTGAAAACGAGTAAGCGTTGCGGAGATACAACCTCACGTCTGTTTTCGCAAGCGCTACATAAATTTTGTTTACGCGTTTATCAAAAACGGTTATTCGAATCATCTTGAATTCCATAACTTTTTGTCAGCACTGCCTGGAGAAGATCCGGTGCGATTTTGGTGAAAATCGGACAAACCGTCTAGGACGAGTTCGCAAAAGTAGGTTTTTTGGAAAATTCAAAATGGCGGCCGTTTTTTTATGACGGAAAATGACGTCATAGGGTGCGATCGAATCGGCATGAGCTCAGGAATAAGAGGAAAAAAGAATTTTGTTGATAGGTCTTACGGTTCAAAAGTTATTAGCATAATAAAAGTGAAACTTTGGACAGTTGGTGGCGCTAGAGGGAATGAGTTAGAGACACCAAAATTGGTGTATTTAAAGTTGGGACTGTCCTCTATCAGAATGTCAAACCAAAACAACTTTCCCGCAAACCGGTCTATGGGCTGCCATAGAGGCCCAGTCGGAAGAAGAATAATAATAATAATAATAATAATAATAATAAGAACCGGCACAGATACAATAGGTGCCTCCGCACCTTCGGTGCTTGGCCCCTAACCAGCACAGATACAATAGGTGCCTCCGCACCTTCGGTGCTTGGCCCCTAATAATAAGAACCGGCACAGATACAATAGGTGCCTCCGCACCTTCGGTGCTTGGCCCCTAATAATAATAATAATAAGAACCGGCACAGATACAATAGGTGCCTCCGCACCTTCGGTGCTTGGCCCCTAATAATAGGAACCGGCACAGATACAATAGGTGCCTCCGCACCTTCGGTGCTTGGCCCCTAATAATAATAAGAACCGGCACAGATACAATAGGTGCCTCCGCACCTTCGGTGCTTGGCCCCTAAATACAAATAGCGGCTGCTTTGCACACCCCTAATGCACGCATATATGTACACATATAGGTGCATATATTTGTGCATATATGAACCTATATATGTACATGTATGTACGCATATATGTGCACATATAGGTGCATTTATACATGCACCCACATGTTTACCTATATTAGAATAATTATTAAAATCCATAGCTACTAGGCAACATAAATAATAGTCCAAAATGTATGCATTTAGATTATTTATTTACTTAAGATCAAATAGTACAAAAACAAAAATAAGACAAAAAAACTGGATAGAAAAAAAATCTTTTTGATCTTCTCAGCTCCATGAGCTTTGAATTGATAGACGTGCCCACCTCCCCTCGGCTGGCTGACGGACACTTCTTCAATGTAGCATCTAGAGAAGATTAAAATAATAAGACACTATAATAATAATAATAATAATAAGAAGAAGAAGAAGAAGAAGAAGAAGAATATAGTACTTCATCAGGAACCCAAAGTGCTTACAGTACAGATGTGATCGGACACATATTTTTTGATAAAAGGTTGATCATTTTAAAAAATGCGTCATGTAAACATGTCAATTGGAAGATTCTGAAGATTCTGAAAAATCTGAAACGTGGCTTAAGAAAAGGAAAGTTAGGATCAAGAACTGAGCAAGCGATGAATTAGTATTATAGGTTCCAAGTAGATATAGTAACAATAATCCCTTATACAGTCTCAATTGATGCCTAATAAACATTGATACAAGTAGGCTATGGTTAAAGTGGTGAACTTATAAAATCCTAATGCGTTGAGAAGGGAAAACAAAACTTTTATACATTTACTCACCAATAATGATGCCTTTTTAATTTGGTCAAGGGCGACCAGCTGCTCCCCATCCCCTCTGGTTGGCTTCCCACCTTAAAATTTGAAAGTAAAATTTCAAAATTATTATAAAAGGGGGTTAAAATGAAGCTTGTGAAAGCAATACTTTTTTATATACACATCACATTTTCTTGAGGTGCAAGGAAATACAAAAATGGCAAGTAAAAAAGCGATGGTATGCCCGCACACAAACATAATTTATTCCACAGAATATTAATTGTTTTTTACGGACAGAAGAGATTAGGAGAATGTTTTGTACCATTCAGGTTGTTTTTCAGCAAAGTCTCCAGATCAAATGTGCCCAGCAGCAGATTCCACATGGCAGTAGCAGAGGTGGCAAGGAGGGCTGCTTTCCACACTTCTGCCTGGCAAAACACCCCAGAGCCCTTTATAACTTCAATCTGAAAAATAATTTATTCATTTATTGGCATTGTTTCATATTGATTCTTATGCTTAGCTTCCCAATAGTTTATATGTTTTTATGTATGAATGCAGATTATTGATAAAGAAACAAAATAATAATATTACACAAAATAATAATATGAAACAAATTAATAATTGCCCTAAATGTTCTTAAAGGAGAGGAGGAGGAGGATAGGGTGTCGGGGTGGGGATGGGGATATTTATTACTGTCACCGTCCCACAGGTGGGACGTTTGCCACTATATTTTTAAAACAATAATATCTTAGTAAATACCTTAAATAATATTGACAAACTATATATCATTTGAAAGCTTACAATCTCTAGTTTCCATATTTGGTGACTGATTTTCAAAATATATTACAGAGGAGCCATAATTTATCAATATAAAACAAGAATATTTTCATACTCATAAGGCGTGTTCAGACCTTTATTTTAAAATAGCAGTAAACATGAAAAATCATGAAAAAATGGTAGATACCTCAGTTTGTTTTCATGCCAAAAGTTCAAAAGATAGAATCCATTCAATTATTTTGGAAAAAAAAGGTCTGAAAAGTTTGAAATATCAAGAAAAAAATAATAAATTCACCATTTGTGACGTGGCATGCAGCTAGCTATGACTTACATGCGTGTTCTTTGTATGTGTTTCTTAGAGGTTCAATTCATATCAAAATCTGCCAAACTTCCCATGCTACTTCTGAATAGGATCTCTACTTCAGAAATTGTATGAAAATTGTGAAAATAATGGTTCATATCACTCAAAACACGAATGGAAATGCAGGCGCCCTTATATGGGCAGTAATGGAGTCTGATTGTGCCCTAGTGAAAAAGTTTGGTACTGCGCTCAAACAAAATCTTACTGAAAGCTCATTTTTTGAGATATCAACCTAAAATTTGAAACACAACTTGTTCAGATTTTTGGCTTTGATCTTTCTGTCATTTTAGAGTAGCCCAGGTTTTGAAAATATATATTTTATGTAAAATATGAATAATTAATATTTTTACATTGTACATTTCCATAAACTCAAACTTCTATAACTTTTTTTCTGTTTCACTTTCTTAATTTATTTCACTTCTACAAAAATCTGCCAAATGTCTTCTTTAAAACAAGACCAATCATATGTCTATATTCCAAAGCATTCTTGAATTAAAACCATTTAAGTTCGAAATGTGCATTTTCATGTCTATTCAAAAAAGGGGGGTGACAGTTAACAGGTTAATAAATAAATAAAAATTCAAGGGGGTTACTCACCGGTTGCACTTTTCAAAAGAGGAGGAATCTAAATCCTCAACAGGACTCCTTCCAGTCTTGTTCATAGAAGAAAAATAAAAGTTATTCTCTTCAATAAATTAAAGTGCAAATAACTTAAATCAAATAATTAACACTATCAATCAGCCCAACATCACAAGTCTCTACAGCTCTGCTAGAGAAACAATTTTAAAAAGCAAAATCAGAGGAACTTACCTTTTTGAGCAATAATGGCGAGGTAACTTTTCATTTGAGGTAATTCTAGAAAGAGGTTATATAAAGAAAAAAAAAACAATTACAATCACTTAATCAAAATAGTAATGCCCTAACGTTAATGTTTACTATTTGAAAGACATTTCCTGCAACTGTAAAGGCAAGCCCATTGATACGGCTCTTTCTTTCACCAATTTCGACCAAATTCAAACTCCACAGGTATTTTTTTTTTTTCTGGAGCCGATTGCCTTCTTGAGCCGTTGGCAGAGAAGTATCATTTATTCTCATGACGTTATGTTCTCTAGGCCATGACTTTTGATAACCCTTTACGAATTCCTCCAGAAAGAAACAAATAAATACGTTACACGTTAATTCTAAATTGAATCTTATCAACGGCTAAGTTATTTTAGCACCCACAGTATCGTTACGTTACCTCACCAGCTAACAACATAGGAAGTCTATGGGCTGAAACAGGTGTGTTTGGCAAAAAATAAATGCTAAGTTTATACTTCTCTGCCACCGCAATTTCCACCCTGCAAATAAATATAAAATTAGGAATACTTACGATTGGTGATAAGTAGGACTTAGAGGATCTCCAATGCTGAAATCGCAATTTTTACTCGCAGCCGTTATCTTCCGGCGCGAAACTTGACTTCATCTCATCGGATACGGATAACGTCAAGCGTTAGGCGGGTGACGTCATCAACTTCGGGGCGCTGTAGCGGCCAATCGGCAGTGCAGCAGCATTCGAATTTATTAACCACTGTGAATTGCTCAGATAGATGGTGGGATGGTGGGATGATGATGATGATGATTATTTGAATGTACGTTCTATTCACTTTTTTTTTTTTTTTTTTTTTGACTGCAATGACCTTTCAGCCAGAAAAAAAAACTGCATTCAGACAATACAGAAAACATTGCAATTTGCATTGCATTTGGTGGATGTATCGGTGAATGTGTGGATGTGTATGGGAAAGTGACTTGAAATTGGAAAAAGGGCTTTTTGGTAAAATGAAAAAACAACAAACCCTTTTGTTATACATTTCCTTCTTTTCCACTAAGTCATTCTGATATGTATATAAATATTTATTTATTTATTTGAGCAATATAGTGACATATTATACACTCTAAAAATGCTTTGGGTCAAACATGGACAAACCCAAATGTTGGGTTAAAAATGCAATTAAAAAAAATGTAAAGTTGAAAAAGTGAAAGTGAAAGTTGAATTTGGGTTAAAATTTGAAATTACATTTTTAACCAAACATTTGGGTTTGTCCATATTTCACCCAAATTTGGGTTCAAACAACCCAGCATTGTTTAGAGTGGATGAGCTACAAATGACCAGATCCTGCCATGAGCTACAGTATAGGATACTCTTGTATATAGCACTTATGTGTGGATATAAAGAAGCAATGCAGGAGACCTACAGTATATGGCCTGTATATGCACATATATGCACCTAAAATTGCCTATATGTGTCATATATACACACATATGCAGCATATATCTTATCATATATGTGCATATATGCACCTAAAATTGCCTATATGTGTCATATATACACACATATGCAGCATATATATTATCATATATGTGCATATATGCTGTATATATGCAGCATATATGTGCATATAAACTGCATATAGGTTTCATATATGCGCATATATCCTCATATAGTTTCTTTCCATGTGGGTGTACTTCGTCAAAAATGGATACAATTTGTGTTTGATTATGTTCCTGTAAATGATGATTGTAATTTAGCTTTCTGTGCTGCACATTTACGTAAGACAGCTTCCAATCTCCACGAATTCAATGCCGGATTCAACAAGAAACTGTTACTAAAACATGAAGCAGTTCCAACTTTAAAACGAGAGGCAGCAGTTGTTGGGCCACAAACGTAAGTAGGCTAAATAGTCTATTTCAGACCTAATGTTTTAGTTTTATCGAATGCCAGCGCTGGCTTTATAGCCACTTAGTTATGCTATTTTGTGTCTATGACAAACGTGTTCAAACATTATGGACCTGAATTTTGTATATGTACTAATGTTGTAAATGTGTTTTTCATGTATAGCTATATACTTTATGGTGTTATTTTTCGATTTGATCAAGAACGTAAACCAATGCCAACACTGTTTGTAGTAGGCAGTTAGTTTGATGCTATTGTGTAAAACAAACGTGTATAAAGTTAAAAAATATAGGCAAATTACCATATTGAAACATTTTGTAAGAGCCGTGTTTAGGGAGGTTCTGCTTGACTCTCTTCATCGCTGCTTTCTGGGTCTGATTCTGGCTCATACTAATACTGCAGTATTGACACCATTATACATTTCACAGAACACACATGCAACTTTCGGTTGCACATGCAAAAGGTAATGGGCGTTAGAATCCGGACAACGTGTACTACAGTTTAGCCAATCACAACACACCGGCCCAAACTAACCAATCTGATCCCACTGCCTGTTTCTGAGGGAGTGGTTTCATAGAATCAGGAAGTAAACCATCGTTCAAATAACAGAGGAGAACGCGGCTGACAATAAAGGTGAAATTTATGAAAAATAAGACTTTAAAAAAGGAAAAACCTCGAATACATGTTATATTGCACCTCATAAACACAATCATGCAAAGAAAAAAAAGCAGTAAACCACCCCTTTAAACAATCCTGTTTTTTTGTTAATTTGCCTTGAACAAGGAAATCGCTCCTCAAAAAACACTAGGAAGATTTCATATTTCTGGCCAACCTATCAAGCTTCCTGCACGACTGCCTGCACTTTTCTGTATACCGGCCTGAACACTGCCACCAAGAAGCAGTTGTAAGGAGAGGGTCCTCAGGAGAGCTTTTCTGACTTTGTGGAGTGGGTGCTGGCATCTTGTGGATTACCGTTCATTATTGGACCCTGGATTTAATGGAAAGTTTAAGTGTGTGTGAAGAGATGAATTCTCTAAGACAACATCTCTCTGCCCATCTTCCCTCTCCCACGACCTCTTGAATTTGCCATGTAGATCACTTTGTTTTTTGTTGGTTTTTGCATTTTTCTTCAGTTTCCACTCAGTCACCCAGTCATTGTTCACTCCCATCAGCTCCTCTGTACCACTTCAGACTCCTCTAAGTGGTGTGGATCCATCTCGGGACTGCAGGGAACTGTCTCGTACTGGGCATGAGAAGCCTGTGGCTCCGCTTCCTGCCTCAGAGTGCTCCACTCCCCCACGATCTGTCGCCTTGGCTCCTACACCTGCAGTCCTTCCTCCCTTGACTCCAGCAGTGACCATTGGGCATTCGGCCTTCCCAGGCTTCCTCTGTACGTCGGCTCTGCCTGGGCCGGCCCTCCACCCCTGTGGCTGTGGCTAGCTCAGCCTTATGTAGATAGCAACCCGCCATGGCGCGAGCACAACTGACTTTTAAAAGGAATTGGGAAATGACTCTTTGCTTGGTTTATTGCTCGTTATACCCAAAACACACCCATTACTCATTAAGAGAATATGGGCAACTCTTTTAGACCATGCACTGGCCACAATTTTTAACTAATAAATCGCCCTATAGATAACTATGTGATTATGAACAGGTGAGTAAAAGGACCTATTAGCCTGCACCATATAGAGCAGGGGTGCCCAATCATGCTCCTGGTGATAGACTGTCCTGCACAGTTAGGCTTTGTTTACACGGAAACGATTCTGAAGAGAAAACGCAAAAGTGGCGTTGCGTCATCTTTTTTAATTCTGCGTTTAGACGAGCGTTTTGTGTGGGAAATCCGCGTGCAAATGGAGACGCAAAAGTGTGTGAAATTCAATGTAGTATGCACTTCAGGCGGCTAGGAGTGCATACTACAACAAGTCAAGTCAAGTCACATTTATTTATATAGCGCTTTTCACAATACAGATTGTATCAAAGCAGCTTCACAGTGATAACATGAAAGTAGTACAACACAGATCAATAATATTGTTAAATATTAAATACTAAATAACCCCGACTAAGCAAGCCAAAAGCAAGGCGACAATGGCAAGGAACCAAAACTCCATCAGATCAACCCGGTCTCACCCCAAGACGTCATATAACTGACGTTTTGGGACGTCTTTTGACCATACGTCAATATTCGCCTTTTTAGGGCCCCCTTAAACGTCGGTAGATGAGGTTATGGGATCCTAACTCTACCCCATACCTAAACCTAACCCTAAACCTAACCCGTCACCTAACTGACGTTAAAGGTAAAGCGTCAGTTGTATGACGGCCCGGGATCGCCATCTACCGACGTTTAAGGGGGCCCTAAAAAGGCTGACATTGACGTATGGTCAAAATACGTCCCAAAACGTCAGTTATATGACTTTTTGGGATGAGACTGTGTTAATCAGATTGGATGGAGAAAAAACCTTGGGAGAACCCAGGCTCAGTCGGGGGCCAGTTCTCCTCTGGCTTACATTCATATTGTTTATATATAAATATCAAATATAAATATTGTTTATATATAAAACGGCTCCATAACATATTGCCGGCGTTGAGTCATCTCTTCACAGGCGCTGGTCTTCTCGTCACAGGCATTGGGGCATCCGAAATCCCCGTGAGAGGCTGGATACAAAACTGGACCTGACGAACGCCATTTTTCCCGAGATAACAGCAGAAAGGCAGATGGGAGATAATTAGCATAGCTGATGTTCATAATGATTTCCATTATACGGGAGTCGGTGTTAGAAAACCACTATCTCACAAACTCACCGCAAACCAACCATACGCGCCAACCCGTTTGACTAAGGCTGTCGAGCCCCACTGTCGCGGAAATGTGTTTCAGTGGCAAACGGTTCCGTATGGCATAACAGAGGACAAAAAGGTAAGCATTATGTGAATGCTTGACTAAAGAGATGCGTCTTGAATCTAGTTTTAAACTGTGTCAGCGAGTCAGAGCCTCGGACCGTATCGGGAAGGCTATTCCAGAGTTTTGGAGCTAAATGCGAGAATGCCCTCCCTCCTTTAGTGGACTTAGATATCCTAGGAATGACCAGAAGCCTTGAATTTAGTGATTTTAGACAACAACACCAAGTCCACGCGCCTGCGTACAACCTTCACTGTCAAGCAGACTTTTGCATTTTTACCGTTTACACGGGAACGCGGCGGTGGAGCGTTTTTAAGATTACCACTCTGGAGGGTGGTTTCACTTTTTTGCGTTTTTGAGCCTCAAAAACGCCGTCGCCATGTAAACGAAAGGCACATCCGCTAAAATATTTTTTACGTTTTCACCCACGAGCGTTCTCGTGTAAACAGGGCCTTAATCTCCAACCCTAATCAAACACACCTGAAGCAACTAATTAAGGTCTTCAGGATCACTTGAAAATTAAAGGCAGTTTGATTAGGGTTGCAGATGAACGGTGCAGGACAGTCGAACGGCAGGAACACCTGATCCATGCCAGAATTATTAATTAAAATAATTGGAAAGACTTTAAGTTCATATAAGTAAAATGTTGCTCGTTTTAAACTAATTTTTAAAGGTTTTTAATGTTAAAAATATTGTATTTCAATTATACTAGCAATAATTGGGAAAAATATTGATTAATCATGATTAATTACAGAAAAAAAAAACAGTGAATAATTGTTTTTTTATCGATTGACAGCACACCTTTAATATTATTTGTCATATTTCCTATAATAATAACAAATATAATAGTTAATTGTAGTTGTATTTGTTTA